AATTCTTGAAGGTTAAACCCTAGAAACATCGATACAGATGTCATGGTAGAGAAGGGAGAACCCGGCACCTGACACAGCTATGCAGAGTTCTGTGAACAGATATCTGCTGTTTGTGGTGGACACTCGAATTTCCCATATAGTGCTGTGTTAGCTATTGCCAGCACTTTAAGAGTTTTCAGTTTGCCTAAGATTCAAGCCTCCAAAACAGTGTTCTTAAGATCTAAAAGGGACAAGTCTGTGGTGATACAGTACTCAAAGATGTGAAAGAAAGTTATAATACTGGATTGGATATGAGGCCTCCTTCATGGGAAGAAATAAAGATCTGGTTCTGTTAACCAGGGCAAAAATCTATGGCTGGCAGTTCCAGGCCCTAGTGAGGAACTTACTATCGACATTAAGCTGGATGAGGCCAAAGTGCCATCTAAATAGTTATGTCTTAGACTGGCACTTCTGTCTGCCCTGCACAGAGGAGGCAGTGGCTAATAACTAAACTTGTACCTGAGGGTAAATGGCTGCTGAGTGCTCGGCATCAACATCACCCTCTGCGAGGCCCAGAAGACAGCACAGAACAGAGGGTGCAAAGACTATGACAGCTGAAAGATGAGAAGCAGTTCTATGACTCTGATTTACTTCACACATTGTTTTTGTATAAAACTATGTTGACAGTTGTGGTGGTTTGAATGAGAAAGGGCCCCATAGGCTCCTATGTGTGAATGCTTGTTAGTGGAACTGTTTGGGAAGGATTAGGAGGTGTGGTCTTGTTAGAGTACGTGTGTCACTGGGGGTGGGCTTTGAGGTTTCCAAAAGCTCATGCCATTCCCAGTTAGCTTCATTTGCTTTGTGCTTGTGGGTCAGAATATAAGCCCTCAGATACTGCTCCAGGGCCATGCCTGTCTGCTTCCTGCTATGATGATCATGAATTAACCCTCTAAACCTGTAAGCAACCCCCCAATTAAATGCTTTCTATTACAGGAGTTGCCTTGGTCATGGTGACTCTTCACGGCAATAGAACAGTGACCAGGACAGATTTAAAGTAGCTCAGTAAGGACCCTTCTCTTGGAAGGATGGCTAAGATATAAAACATGCAACTCAGTTTCATGGAATGAAATCTGCACAAATATTAATTTAAGTAAATTAATAGGTGAAGGACCTATCCTGGACAGTTGATATTCCTTATCAGAATCACATTCTTAAAGATGCTGTATCTTAGGTAGCATTCTCTCCTCTGCTTTACTATATAAGCACTTATGACCAGGAGCAAGGGCATAGAGGAAAACAGAATAGACATGGCCTCCAATCTATAGGAAGCCACAGATACTAGTGAGTCATGAAGCTAGTGACTAAATGCAATTTTGATAAGTCTTACCGAAAACATGCAATGGATAGTCTAACCTACAGTTTTTGGAGATGGGATCAGGTAGGATGAAAGAGGTGTCAAAGAAGATATTGAAAGGAGAATGAAAGCAAAACCACAGGAAACAACAACAATAACAACAACAACAACAACAACAGCAAACCAGTCAGGTGTGTAGTGTATACTTTAATTTCAGCATGCAGGAGGCAAAGGCAGGAGGAGCTCTGTGAGTTCAGGCTCTTCTGGTCTACATAATGAGTTTCAAGCCAGCCAGGGCCATAGTGAGATCCTATCTAAAAACAAAATAGAACAGGAAAAAAAGAAGAAAGAAAAGAAATGACAAGAAAAGGATAAACTAGGAGATGTGACAATGGCCCAGATCTAGTCAGAGGGGCCCAGAGAGCCTGTGCAGGGGGTCTGCAGGGAAGAGGGAACCCATGCGGCTTTGGAGCAGGGAAGGAGAGAATGTAGAAAACATCAACCAATAAATGTAAGCAAGCCACTGAGAAGGGCTATACCTTATCCTAACTGCCATGGCAAAGCAGCATGGCCAATGCTAAGAGTTATTCTTAAATAACTTGGTCAGCTTCAAGAAGAATGATTTATTTAAACAGCTCTGATTTGAATGACCCATCTAAAGGTAATGAGGTAATTGGAAAATCTGACTGAGGAGCTGTCCTCTGGCAACTGTAAAGCGGTACTTGCAATGTGCTATGACTCTAAGCACCTCAGGGCAAAGTAATGCAGCTTGTTTCTGGAATGATCCAGTTCTGAAGAAGCAGAGGTGATTTAAAGAGGAGGTGGAGATAAGCCTTGAGTTAGGTGCTAAAGAAGATGAGAGACTGCTAGGGGGAGAGGTACATTCCAGAGGGATCATAGCCACTGGGGTGGCAGTGGCATCATTTTGGTAGTAAAACTATTGACACTTGGGGATGGGAGAGAATGGAGTTTCTGCTCCATTTGTGGAAAGGTCCATGAAGTAGACAGAGTAAAGCTGAGGGGGCCTATGTGAAGAACTGGCAGACACTGAGCAAAGGTGTGAGGATTCTAATATTGTGAGGTCCAAAGGGTACCCTATTTCCATCCCCCATCCTCCAAAATGGGCAGGCCCCCTAATTCAGTCCAAATTGAGTTTAGACCTAGCTCAGCCTGGACTATAGGAGGATTTCTGGCAGTTAGATAAAAGTAAGCATTTCTCAGGAACTTGTGAAACTGGTTCCCACCAGCCAAAGAAGTCATTTTGCTTACCTCTGGCAGAATGGGCATATGGCTCTCCATTGACATGTAACTGTGGTTGCATCAAAGGCCATGCTGGCCTCCAGGCTCCATCAGTCCCCATTTATAAGTATGTGCTACACATTTCACAGCCCCCACCCTGCTCCAGCCCCTCACCTTCCTCATAAGCGTCCCCCACCCTCACTATTCCCGACTCTCTTGCTCTCCGCTGGCTCCCTCACTATGCACTGTTCTCTCCCTTCTCTCCAAGATACATAGCCCTAGTCATGTCCAGCTGGCTTCTTTTTCTTTCTGCTCTAGACTCTTCCAGATGCCTCTGGATGTCCTCTCTAATTTACAATCAAAACCTTAACTATACTACAGAGTGGCAATGTCGGCAGTTCCTTTACTGTGCCCCCTCACATACAAGTGTCTTTCTGCAAGTTGACAGTGAGTGTTCCAAACTCTCACCTGGTCTCTCATTGCTGCTCAACTCCCGGAAGAACAGACTGACACAGAATCAAGTATGGATACCTATGTTTGTAAAGAATACCCTTCTGGAGCCGGGTAATTGTTGCATGAATCCTAAATGGTCTTGTAATAAAAACCTGGAGCCAGATAATCAGGGTGAAAGCTGAAAGATAAGAGAAGCAGAGCAAGCCACAGACACCACCTCTTACCTCACCAACTCCTCAGCCTGAAAGTGCCAACTCCTGTCTCTGCCTTATATTCCTTTCTCTGCCCAGCCATATCACTTCCTGTTTCAACCTTCCTAGTGTGGGATTAAAGATGTGTGATTCCAAGTGCTGGAATTAAAGGTGTGTGCCACCACAGCCTGGGTCTGTTTTTCTTTTAGACTGGATTAATATTGTATAGCCCAGGGTGGCTTTAAACTCACAGAGATCCAGAAGGATCTCTGCCTCTGCCTCATGAACGATGGGATTAAAGACATGTGCCACCACTGCCTGACCTCTATGGCTAACTCTGTGGCTGGCTCTGTCCTCTGATCTTCAGGCAAGTTTTATTTCTTAGATTATAAACAGTATATTACCACAGGCAATGGTGGCACATGCCTTTAATCGCAGCACTCAGGAGGGAGAGGCAGGTGGATCTCTGTGAGTTTGAGGCCAGCCTGGTCTACAGAGTGAGTTCCAGGACAGCCAGGGCTATACATGGAAACCCTGTCTCAAAAAACAAAACAAAATACTTTTAACATTTTGCACATCACGATTTTAAGCAAAATCTAAGTCTTTTTGCATGTTTTCCTGTGTGCGCACATGCATGTGGATGCCAGAGGTTCAAGCTTGTGTCATTCCTCAGAAGCCACTGCCTTGTTTCCCGAGATGCATTCCTCACTGGGACCTGCCCGTTAGGCTAAGCTGGGCCAGGGATCTGCCTGTAGCTGCCTCCTCAGTGACAGGAAGGAGTACAAGTTTGTGCAGCACATCAGGCTTTTCAGGGAGGCCCTGGGATTTGAACCCAGAGCTTCATGCGCAGCAATCACTTTAGCAATTGTAATTCTCCCAATCCCTCTTAAGCCTTTTGTAACAGAGAGCTGTGGGGTAGGATACGGGGAAAAAGACTTCGAGCCATTCTTAAAAGTACATCTGCAGCTTGTTTTCGGGGTGTAATCCTACAGGATTAAATTAACCCAGTATTAATGTAATACATTCTTGGGTGAGGAGAAAGGAGCATGCGAGTCGACATAACACAAGCAGCCAATGCTGCTGCTCCCACTAGCAATGAGCTGATGGGCTTTGAAGTGACCCCTAGGCTGAGGATCAAAAGGAAAACACTGACTGACAGACTATCACAATTTTTATCAACTATGAAAACGACGATGACGATGATACATTTTTAAAGACTGCCTTAAATGCACAGAAACTAATGTTAACGATACACGTATGCTTGGCAAAACCTATCCAAATGGGATTAGACGAACATGTTTCAGTGTTTCATCCTAAGCAAATCCATCTGTGCAAACAATCTCTGGATTTTTTTTTTTGGCTTCTGAGCCATCCAGAGCATAGTTCACATCACTCCTTAGTCAAACACACAGCAACACTCACTGGCATGTGAGAAAACCCAGTTTGTGTTTTTAGCGCAAGCCTGTTCTGATCTTATTTCCACTGGAGGCTGGGAGTTTGTTGTACATGTTCATCTAATCCTCCCCCCCACCCCTTCTTCATCTAGCCTTAGCCTCACCACACTCTGAACCACTCTCAGTGTGACTGTAGGAAGAACACCTTCCCTGGCTCTCAGACACTTCAGGGGTCACAGGCTGCATGTGAGCTTAGGCCCAGCTGCTCACGTCATCGCCTCAGACCCAATGGATCCAGCAAACACCTCATTTTAAAATAAAAGAAAACCGCAAATAAAACACCTCATTTAAAATAAAATAAAATCGTAAAACGATGAGCACAAGGCTTACCCATTCGTAAGACAGAATCCAGCACCCTCTCGCAATCCCCATCAGCACGTTCAGGGTGCGGACAGACTTCCCCACCAGCACGTGGGTGGTGGACTCGCAGACCTCAGGTGAGAATGAAAAGCCTTTCAGTGTGTTCACCACCTGGATGATGAGATTCTGCTTCCTGCGGACCAGAGAGTCAACAGTCAGCCTACACACAGTGTGCCCGTTAGACAAACAGAGGCTCAAAGTCTGGCTTTATTTTAGTTACATTGTTCATACCTTGGTTTCTTTACAAACAGGAACATGGGATTTGGGGAAACAAGAACCTTTCAGATCTCAATTCCAAGCTGATGAGGCTTCCCATGGTGTCTCCAGAGTCAAACAAGCTGTCTAGGGACAGCATTGGCATTGGAAGCCAGACTCCTGACATCAGTCTACAGCACACCAGATTATGCACTTTCATGCATTTTGAACCAGTGTGTATATGTACTTCTAAAATATGTATGTGCATGTATGCTATGATGTGTGTGGGGGGCAGAGGACAACTTGTGGGGATAGGTTCTTTTCTTCTACCATGACGGTTCTGGGAATGAATTCAGGTCACTGGGTTTGGCAGCAAGAGCCTTTGCTCAGAAGCATCCCACCAGCCCAGGACTCCAGTTATTATTTGCTTATTTTACTTTGAAAATACAACATTATTGGAGTGTCAAATGCAGTTTTTCCCATTACAAAAAAAAAAAAAAAGACTCTAATTAAATTATCTCTTTAATTCCCAAAGCTCACTGGCATCTTTAACCTGTCATTCTCTTAATGGCTGGCATGCCTTTCTGTTTGTTTTCCAAAATGATGTTCTAGCATCCTTACACAGGCCTTTAGTTCTAATCTGCCTGCTTCTTTCTTTTAGTGTTTTGCTAATATCCATGCCCCCCTGGCCCAGCATTGTTTGAAAATCCCCAGTGAGTCAGTGGAGATGTGAGCTTTTCTCCTCTCCACTAGGGTACCACAATGGGTGGTCTGCTGTGCCTGCCCCAACCTTGCTGACTCCTGGGTGCTTCTCTCCTAGTCTTATCTCGGGTACATAGCACCTCAAGAGCTCAGCCTCTCCCTGTGAGAAGGGCTGACCTCCCTCAGTGTCTAATCTTAGGGCTCCACAAAGTGGGTCTAGAGGGCCCCTCCTCAACCGACCTGGAGACGCTATGCTTGTTAGCATCTCAGAGAGGATTAAGTTTAGCAATATCTGATCTTGTCTGTTCCAAGCCTGGCAGCTACCAGCAGCTCATGGATGCGCTAATTGGGAACAACTGCCTTTTTATGGCCTTGTTAATCAACGTGGAATCAGACTGTCCAAGGTCTCTGGATACTCAAGAAGTGTAAGATGAGAAGGGAGCAGGGGACAGCGCAGCCAAGATGAAAAGTTTGCTTTTTAAATCTTTTAATGAGAAAAATAACTGGCTATCATTTTTTAAATTTACAGAATAATCAGGGACTTTATTACGTTCAAATTCCGTATTTCTAGAGTAGACTAAGTGTTCATGGCACCTCAAAGGTATTAATAAAAATAAGAGGGCTCCTCTTTTGCGATACATGGCATACAGTGTTTAAAGCATTAGTGTTTTTGTTCGCACGCCATGGGCAGGAAAAGGAGCCCACCACAAAAAGTGGTCTACACACACATGCTTCCTGCAGCATGTTTTTACTGAAACGTCCCAATGTTTTGATGAATGTCTTAAAACCTCAAGACCTATGATTGATACAAAAAAAATGTGGTTTTCCTCTTTAAGCACAAATTTGAAAATCCGTTGCAAAGAACACAGTACTATATATTTTTGTTGGATGTTCTTTATTGTGCTAAATGTTTAAGGGAGATGATAAGAGCAAGCCAGAAAGCCATTAACCCTTCCACAAGATGCAGAGATAGCTGCCTTCGACCACATGTAGAAAGCTTTCTGCCATGATGTTTCTTCAAGATCTGTAAGGAAATGTTTCGACCCCCACTGCTCAGTTTATTGAAAATTCATAGGGTGAAGGGGTGGACAAACAAAACCATTAGGTACTTACTAAGCAAGCAAAAAGGACAGCAAAAATAATTAATAAATAAATAAAATAAAATCTCTTAATGCTATGCAAAGGACCGAAAAAGCTTTTTGCACTCGATAGCCCACATTTAACTACATTTTCAATTTCCAATGATCTTCTAACCCCATACTAGTTACATTGAGTAAAAGTGATCCAGTCCAGTTCTGCGAATGTCCTGAAGGCATAAAGACCTACAGTATATACAAGAGAAGGCTAAATTTTACAATGAATAGAAAGTTATCAAAACAACAAGTACTTACTCAGATGGCATGCTTGTCATGACTAATGTTCTCATTGGCTAGAGATTTTAAAAGAGAAGAACAAAAAAATAACAGTCAAAAATATAAGAAAATTTTCCCACAGAAATAAACTTTAATAAGTTTTTCTAACAGTTACATCACTTAAACACAAACATTTAAGCACATATATATTAAAGAACTTTATATTCTTGGGGGAAAAAACAGCAGGAGATAGAAATTTAGACACTATGTTAAAACCAATCCAAAACAAAACAAAACAAAAAACCCAGACATGATGGAGAAGAGCAGGAAGGCCCACAGAGTACCTCCAGATGAGTCAGAGTGCATTTTTTAAAGTTAGGAAGGAGTGAGAAGGGTACTTTAAAGGCTGGGCCACTCTTCCTAAGTTATGGGCAACCATGTCCTCTCGGACACACTCCTGTACAGTACTGTTTATGGTCAGGAGGGTCACAGTCGGTGACAGGGGGCTCAATTCCCGGGTTACCATCTGCTGTGATGAAAACTGTATGTATTTAAGTGGTGGTGGTTGATGTTGAGACTGAGTTTTACTATACAGAACTTCAACGTGCTATGTAACCCAGGCTGGCTTTGAACTCCCAATCCTCCTGCCTCAGTATTAATGGGTACTACCAGATCCTGCCCAACAAGATATTTTAGACAGTTTTACTTAGTGTAATCTTGGTTGACAATTCCTGGGACTTGGAATCACCATGGAAACCAACATCTGGGCTTGTCTGTGGGGTCTTAATTCAGACTAACAGAGGTGGAGACCCACCTTAAAGGTGAGTAGATAATCTTCCACTGACTGGGTCCCCAGACTGAATAAAGAAGAGAAGGCAAGCTGAGCACCAGCATTCATCTCTCTCTGCTTCCTGAGTGCAGACACATTGAGCTACCTTAAGCTCCTGCCTTCCCAGACACAATGGACTGTGTCTTCCAACTGTGGGCCAACATAAATCCTTCCTTAAGTTGTTCCTCAAGATGTCAGGAACAATAACTAATCTACTCAAGGGGTGTGTGTGTGTGTGTGTGTGTGTGTGTGTGTGTGTGTGTGTGTGTGTGTGTGTGTGTGCAGAAAATGTAAATGCTATACAAATAAGCTTATATACATGAGTGTGCTACAGTTTTTGTTTTTCTTTCCCAGAATTTGCTGATGTCTTTCAGCAGTGTGCACTCCATGGGATTGTGTGGATTTACATTATGTGTATGCCTCTGCGACTGAAGGGAGGAGCCTCACTTGTTCTTAAGCGGGAAAGCACAGTGGGGAGGGAACACAAGAGGCCTCCAAGGACGGGTCCTGGACACTGTACAGTTAGGAGGATGAAGACTGCAGAACGCAGAGGGAATATGAATGGAAAAGCCATCCAGAGGAAGAGCTCTGAGGATGACAGCTAAACTAACAGAACACTACTTCCCTGTCCTTTTAGAGATCCTTCTGGAATACTACCTTCTTCTGCTGTACTCCTGATAACCCATGTGGATTAACAGCACAGCTTTCTGATTGGTTCTAGCTACAGGGTCTGCATGTGGGAGACTCCAGTCATCTAACATTATTCTGGCTGAGCTGAGACTGTCCGTTAGTGTCATCTCTGACAGGACAGAGGTCAGGCAACCCAGGGGGCCACAGGCCAGGGGTGGTACAGCCCAGGGGGCCACAGCTGCAGGGAGGGAGCTGCCTCTACCCTGCTGAAGCTGGGCAATCAGATGCCAGGCATCCCACCCTCACCCCTGCCCACCACCGCTTTTCTTCCTTCACAAGCTTGTTCTCTGGTGGCCACATGGGTTTAAACACCAGCCATGTCAGCACATGGCCAGCGAGTCCCAGCTTCCTATGTGTAGAGCCTCTAACGCCCAGACTCCAGGGCTCTGAGGTTGGCTTCAGAGTTCTACTTGGAGGTCTAGCAAGGATTTTCAATTTAATTTGATCAAAAACTAAACCACTGCACTAGCCAGAGAATTAGGAAAGAAAAAGAAATAAAGGAGACCAAAACTAGAAAGCAAGCAGTAAAACTACTTTTACCCACAGATCAGATTTTACATGGGCTGTTTTTCTGGCATTTTAATAAAAAGTAACCACAAGAATTAAATAAATTCAACAAGGCTTGAAAAAAAATAAGATCAACACACAAAACCAGTTATTCTACAAATCAGGAGTGAACAATTTGAAAAGGGTATTAGGAAAACAGTTCCACTGACAACGTATGAAAGAGAGTAAGAACGAACAAAGTCAATAGAGAAGGCACAGTGTCGTCTGTCGAAAGTGAAAACTGTGGTTGGAGGGCCGGGGAGAAGGCCCAGTGGGTAAACTGAGAGCTGCACACGTGTGAGGACTGGACTTCAGATCTCCAGGAACCAAGCACACTGGACAGGCGTTTGGAACCCCATTATTCAGAAGCCAGGGGAGATGGGCAGAGCAAGCTGGCTAGCTAGATCAGCTGAATCACTGAGCACTGGGTACAAACCAAAGACCTTGCCTCAACATATAAGGTGGAGAGGGAGCAAGGAAGACAGCTAATGTCAATCTCTGGCCTCCTTACAACTCAATCATTAAAAAAAAGAAAAAAAAAGTCGAGGGCTGGAGAGAGAACTCCTTGGTTGAGAGCACTGGCTGCTCTTCCAAAGAACCCATGTTCGCTTCCCAGTACCTACGTGGCGGTTTACAACCAACTGTAACTCCCACTCCAGGGGATCTGATGCCCTCTTCTGGCCTTCTAGGCCCCAAACACACACATGCTGCACAGAAATACATGCAGACAAAATACACATACAGATAAAAAAGAAGTATTTAAAAAAAAAATCAAAACCTCCATTTAAAAAGCAAGCAAGCAGCTCAAAGAGACATGGCTCCAAAGATAAGGAGCAAATGGCCATCAAGTGAACAGAAAGATGTTACATATCCCTAGTAACCAGGAAACCACCACTAAAACTCCACTGAGATGATACATCATGTCATTATATCGGCTGTTTAAAAATAAACACAATAGTAAACAACAAGCTTGATGGGGAGGTGGAGAAGGTGGAGACTCGGACATGACTGGAGGGAAGGTAAAATTTAGGGAACAGTTTGTTAATTGCTTCAAAAGTTGAATGTGTCACAGTTGATGAGCAGAGAGCAACTTACAGAGAGAGTCAGCACACCGCTTATCTGGCCACATAGGTTAGAGACATGAAATATATCCAGTGTGAGTCCTCCCATTAACCAAGGAAACTCCTAAGAACATGGCAGATATTGGTGTATGTAACTGCTGGAGATGAATTTTTAAAAAATGAAGACTGTTAAGAATAGAGAAGTGGATGGTTGGATGACAAAGTAAATATAGTTCCAAAAGCAGCAACTGTAAAACTCAAAGTTGGAGAGGAGAATTGCAAAATCTGATCGTAATATATAACAGTTAATCTTCATAGGGTTTAGAATCACCATGGAAACAAACCTCTGGACTTGGTTGGGAGGCATCACCCAGATTAAGTTAATTGAGGTGGGAAGACCCATCCTAAATGTGGGCAGCGCCATCTGATGGGCTAGAGCCCGGGCTCAGTAAAGAGAGAGCAGGCCGAGCACAGGCGCTCACCTCTCTCTGTTCCTGGCTGTGGCTGACACGTGACCAGCTGTCCTAGACTCCTGCCACCTTGTCCTCCCCTCGGCAGACTGTACTCTCAGACTGTGAGTCCCAAGAAACTCTCTCTCCCTTACGCTGCTTCTGTTGGGTATTTTGCATGGCAACCACACAAGTAAACTACTACATAATAAAAATGATATCTGTTTATGGACATGCCAAGTCCACCCAGCAGAGGCTCAACTGACTTTCTCTACCATAGTTTGAGTCTTCAATGTCCCACAGATCTGATGTGCTGATGTAGGATGTGGTGGGACCTTTAAGACACAGGCCCTAGTGAGAGGTCTTTAGGACGATGGGGGAGGGGGTCCTTGAAGTGTGTGTGGGTGGGGTGGGTATTAGGAGCACCCCTCCCCCCAGGCTCACTTCTGTTTCCCTGCCCCAAGCATGAGCAGTTTTGCTCCACCATAAGCTCTTACCAAAATGAATCACCACAGGAGAAGGCAACAGGGCCAGCGGGCTGCTGAACTGTGGGACCAACGCTTTAGTCTTAAGGTAACAGTCTGAGGTAGTTTGTTACAGTAACCGAAGATGACTAACACACTACTAGCAATACCATTTCAGTAGGCCTGACATGTAAAATTGACTTAAAAGGCCAGCCGAGGCACACAGAGGGTGAGAGGCCCACAGCCAAAACAAGGACGGCCACCAAAAGAAAACCACGAACTCAGAAAATGTGTTTCCAGAATGGTACCCGGTGGATTTGGCTTCATGGAATGAAAAAAGGAACAAGAAAAAGGGTTTAGTCAAACACGGACCTAAGATGGCCATCAGTCACCAGATCTGGGTACGTGGCAGCAAATAAGCACGACGCGCTCTCCTCTAAGCTACTACTGTCCTGGCATCAGGATAGCTGTACAGAGCTAAGGGTAAGTGCAAGGTTGAAATGAAGGTGACTCACGGCCCATGGCCTCCGGGTACCATTCATTAGATCATTTCTCTCTATCCATTTGATTATTCTCCTTTGAGCAGAGTGTGGTGATATTTTATTTGTGCTGAAACGTGATTTTATTTGTGTGTTAATAAAGAAAGTTTGCCTGGAGATCAGAGGTCACAGCAAGCCATAAACAGAAGTCAGGCGGTGGTAGCACATGCCCTAGGTCAAGCTCACAGCCAAGTGTGGTGACACATGCCTTTACTCCCAGTACCAATCATAGAGGCCTGGAGGTCTGTATAGACAGGCAGTAACGAGGAAGTCATGTGGCTGGGCTTAGAGCCAATGAGAAGGCAGAACAGGAAGGCAATAAAAGCGCAGGTTAGACAGGAAGAAGCTCTCTCTCTGGGGAAGCTACTACGTGGTGGTAAGCTAAGGCTAGTCATGGGTATTCGCTATTTCTCTGATCTCTTTGGCTATTACCCCTGTATTTGACTCTGTATTTCTTATTTAATAAGACTGTTTAGAAATTTGTCTACTAGCGCAAGAC